AACACATAATAAGGCTAATATTCTTATTCTGGCCGTAACAATTATCCGACCACAGAATGATTTCTTCAATGCCACTGCCAGGAATAACGGTTTCTGCCCATTTCAGTAATGCAGATCCGATTTCATTTCCGCCACGAGCTCCTTTGGATTCGTCCAACATAATACAATGGACTGATGAATCAGAAGAATCAAAAAGGGTGTAATTCAACGTCCAAAGTTTTCTCTTGTAAAAGCTTATGCAATTTGTTGTGACGGCAAACATTTTTGAAGATCACCCGTTAATACCTTAAAGGTATTGTTAGCCCTTTTGGTGTCCTCGCTTTTTAAATCATACCTTAATTTAGATTCATCCAGATGTGCATTATGGTCTTCCTCAATAGAATTTTTTTCATCTAGAGTCAAATTATTATTTTTTAATTTTGCTTGAAAATAATCACATGTGTCATTCGTGTCTATTTCTGGTGGTTTGAAATTCAACTTAAATTTTTTGTTGAACGCATCGTAGTAGAGCCATTTTTCAGCTATTAACAAAGGGTTGAAATCATTTTCATTACAATCCTCTACATACAGTTCATACATTTTCTCTATGTTCAGGTGCGGACCCTAATACTCCTTATCACTCTTTTCCCTAGTGTAATGACTGCTATAATTTGGGAAGGAAGAGATGTGTCTTACTACACTTTCAACAGTGTCATTATGTGTTTTATTGACGGGAGTTTGCTTACCCCTTTGATCGGTTTTTACAATTCCACCTGGTTCAATATTTTTCAAAACATTAACTACCACGGTGTTTGATATAGATAGTGTATTTAAAAATATAAGTTTACATACTCTAGTTCGTATACCTTTTACTGTAAAATAATATTGTAGAGTATTTTGTTTTGACTTATTGGAGGCAAGGTCTCGTTTTCTTGAACGGACAGTACTATGCTTCTCTACACATGAAACAATGAATTGCCGTTTTATGTCATTTCCCTTCTCCTGACTTCAGTATGCATTAAAGATCTCCTGTCTGCAAGAACAAGGAGGTTTAATAATTCTGGCAGGGAAAACTTTACCCTTTTTACTAATATATTCTTCACCTGCAGAATATTTACGTTTCTGAATATTACATGCCCATTCACTGGTATGAACGACACGTTTTTTACCTATCTGAGTAGAAATAGATTTATTTTTCACTTTTCTCCTTACGCCTACTGTTCCTTGCAAATCTAGGCCTACTTGATTTTCTGCAATCAAATTTAAGTCTTCCTCAAGTAAACGTAGCTCATGTCCATTTGAGTTTGGACATGAGCTACGTTCTAAAAAATGGACATAGTGTTGTATCCCTCCGAGGTACCGATATATATATATATATATATATATATATATATATATATATATATATATATATATATATATATATATATTATATATATATATATATATATATATATATATATATATATATATATATATATATATATATATGCGGAAGTAAACAATAAAAATAAGTCGATTAAAATGTCAAATATTGAAAGAACTGAGATTGTCCCAATAGACTTTGGTGTATTTTATTTCACACCTTTTAAATATTTTAGTTCAAATTTTATGCAATTCCCAACAAAGGTTGAAGAATAAAAAAAATATTAATTTCTTATAATAATATATACATACTTTTACATCCTTCAAATATTTCTTTAATCAAAAAATGAAAATAAAATGTATTTAAACAAGTTATCTTATTGAACCAGTTTTTATTTTCATCTTATTGAACATCATTAACATCTTATTGAAGCAGTTTTCATTTTCAAATTTAATTGATTGCACAAAAAAGTCTTCATTTTTGTATAAAACAAAGTCAATTTCGCTCTTTTCTGTAAAAGTTTTAATACCTTGACATTGATAAAATTAACTGTTTGATTTTTAGTTTTAGCTGTTTATTACTATTTCCATACAAAAAGTTTTATTGGTACAAGCTTTATGTACACAAAGATTTCTTATTAAAAAAGAGCACTTTACTTCAATTATTTTGCAGCTGTCTTAGTAAATACACAACCCATCAAGGCTAGAACCAGCCATGGCATTTAGGATTTATAACAAGATTACATTTTTTAGCATCACAGTTAACTTTTACTTTAAACTTTTCATGAGCAATCTCTTCATTTTAAATACTCCAATAATAAACTTGTGATTGTAAACTACTACCACAGTTTCTTATAAGCTTTTTTAACAATGTTAAAATAGCTATGTTAACAATAAAAAAGAATAAAAAAGCAACTGTAATAGTAGAGTTGATTGTGTATTCTTTTACTTATCTAAATATACTTTAAATATAATTAATATAATATAAAATAATATAATTATATTATAGAATATAATTAATATAAAAAATATAATTAATTAATATAAAACAAAAGGACAATTAATATAATTAAAATATACTTCAAACAAGCTTCTCTAACGAAATTCAACTTCAACTGCGTTGAAACATTTGTTTATATTACAATACAGTTATTCTCTTAATAATAAGATTTATAAAAGATTTTGGCGTAAATGTAATTAATTATAAAAGAGAAAACTATTATCTATGTACAAGCAAGCCACTAAATAATAAAAAAATTAAAAAAACTATGAATCGCGATTTTTTGATTTTTCTGTACATACAAATACCATAATGGATTGCTTTATGGGGAAAGGTCAATTAAAATATTATTTAAAAAGTAGTAGCTCAGTTAAAAAAACGTTATCAAAAAAAAAACCGTATCCATTCCTTTTTTTAAATATGAGTTACAACAAAATAGTTCTAACCTGTGTATACAGTGCAATCTCTCTAATTCGAAAAGTCGGCTTGAAATGTCATCGTCTTTCTATAATTCAAAAACCTCTCTAATTCGAACGTTTATTTTTCCAAATAAAGTTCGAATTAAAGAATATGACATTAGGATGTCGCAAACAAATCCTCCTTAAATTTAATCTCAAATAAATATGAACCGCTGAATAAAAATAAATATAAAGCTGAACCATGGCAAACCACCTAAATTATTTATGGAGTTTAATGTTGTTGTTTTTATCTTTAATTTTGTTTTACCATTATGTTTATATTTTACTTTATTTTGTTTTATTATTATATTTAGTTAATTTAACTTAAAATTTAATAATTATTTAATTATATCCAACTTTAAATGTTTCTTTAAAAGTAAACTATATATAAAGAATTTATGCATTTACGTATGTAAACACAAAAGTTTTTTCCTTGAAATACATAGCTCTCTTCAAAAATAAATTAATTTTTCTTTCTTTTCGCGTAAACGAAAATGTAAATTACTTCTTTAACTATTTATTAAATATCACGCGGACTAAGTGGATCACAAATTCCTTTGTTATCGTCAACGTAGATCAGTTTAATGTTATTGTTGAAATCTACATATACTTTGGCGTGGAGAAATCTTCCATGGCTGACTCGAACCTAAACGGAAAAAGAAAAAAAACTGCAAAGTATTCTAACGGGCATTTGTTTTTAAAACTAAAGTTCTGAACTTTTTTAAAACGTCTTCTAAACGTTCTAAAGGTAAGAACGTTTAGAAGACGTTTAAAAAGCGTTTTAAAGACGTTCAGGACGTAACTTTAAAAAAAACAAAAGCTCGTTGAAATGTGATTGGTAAAAAATAAATTTTTGTGCATTAATATTTTATACTATGTATATCTGATTAAAAAAACTTAAACAAGAAGAATTAAAAATTGGCCAATCATCACCCTCTTTCTTTAATTCAATTTCAACTTTGCCTAAAAAACTGATATAAAAAATTATTTATCGGCACTCCACAATAGAATACTGGAAAAGCAATCAAACCAATATTTGTAAAAATATGCTATTTAAAAACAACCACAAAGTATTCAAAAAATTTCAGTATAAAAATAATTATCTAATAATAAAAGTCTGTTATTTTTTATACTTTGAGACAAACCGTTAATTTTTCCTGTAAGTCAGGTATTCAGACGAATCGACGTTGTTGCGCTAAATCATTATAAAAAACAATGCGGATCTTAATAATATACTTAAATGCCCAGGAAAAAAAGTTCTATAGAATTTCTATAAACTTTTAAAACATATGGCCTATAGAAATTCTTTAGAATTTTCATAGAATCTCTGTTAAGGTGGTTCATACCCTTAAAAAAAAAAATTTAAAGAAAACTAGTAAATTTAAGTGGTTTTCTATTTAACTTATATAAATCAATGAACAATTACCATTAAAATAAAAAATAAAAATGTGTATATATTTTTGCCTCATTTATTAATACTTTTATGTTTAAAAAGACAAAATTTAAATCTGCGATTAAGTAAGAAAGATTTGCTTTTTGAACCTAAAACTTTAAGGCTATCATTATTAGGTAGTTACACAGGAGTTGAAGCAGATTCAGAAATTTTCTACTTCTTTTACAAAAATTATTACAAAAATTGTAAAAAAACGCAAAATTTCAATAGGAGTGTTTACAAAAAAAGCTATTAAATCTACATCTATAAAAATTTTGTCTTGGTTCTGCTTCAACTCCTTGACAATACCACTATAATTACACCCTGAAAATTTCAAATCATTTAGAATATTTAAAATATATAACTGAAAATAACTAAAAAAAGAAAATAGGTTAAAACCAAAAAAAAAAAAGAAAAAAATGCAATAAAATAATTAATAAGCCTCAGCTGCATAAGCTGGTATAGTTTCACTTTGTTTTTCTTCATCCACAAACTCTTTCCTAATGGTTCTCAATTTCTTTCTTCTCTCAGTTCCCTCCTTTAGTGTACTTTTATTCATTAATGTTTCACTTTGATTGTCCATTTACGTAGCATTATTATTAAAAAAAATTTTTCGGTAGGTCTGCAGTGTGTTTAGTTACCACAGAACTTTCTTTTATGTTTTGAAAGTGTTGATCTAGGCATTAGTTAATTTCCTCTAAAATTAAATACCCTTAATTAATTTTTATTTGGAGTATATATCTATTGTCTTGCTTTTTCAGCCTCAATAACACTTTTTCCAACTTGATAATGCAAGTTTTCAAGATTGTAATGTAATTTATTTCAATATTGAGCAATTGTTGCTATGGTGTTGCTAAGGGTATGATTTTAATAGGTTGCATAAAAATGAATTTTAGTCCACATATTCAATATTTTTATAAATTCTAATAATATATTTGAGTTTATTATAAAAATTTGCATAACAAATTTGCATAACAAAAAGCGAAAATTTTATTTTGGATTTTTGACTAAAAATAAGGTATGAACCACCTTAATTTCTATAGAAATTCCTATAAAACTTTTTTTCAACTTTTTTTTTTGTGTAGAAAAAAATGTTTTATATCAATTTTTATAGAAATTAATAGACATTCTATAAAAATCCTATAGAATTTCTATACCATATGTTATAAAAATTTAATAGAAATTTTTTTCCTGTGTGTTACATTTTTTTTAATGATCTTAAACTTCGTTACACTATTTTATCACTATCTATGTAATACAGCCCGTGTAACAACTTTTAAAAACAAGACTAAACATTTTTGCAATCTTCTGATAACAGAACTATAAATTTTAAAACTCTTCTAGCAAAAGATTTTTGAACTTTTTAACATCACAATATTTCCCTAAAGACACATGAGACACAAATATAATACTTTGAACATTTGAACATTTCAAGCATTGAAATGTTTGAAGAATATACAAGCTAATCATGTACTATCTTCCTTTAGGACACATCAATAATTCCCAATTTTTGTAATAAAAAATTTTTATCGGTAAAAAAAAGTCCAGTTAAACTTGCGAGAAACATGAGATGCTTTGAACTTAATTTTGAAATTTTTTACTTTAAACGAATACACATAGCATTAAACGAATACACATCACATCAAACGAATACACATCACATCAAACGAATACACATCGCATCAAACGAATACAGCATCACATCAAACGAATACACATCATAAAGTGTGAAGCGTCTTGAAACAAAAACTAGCAAAAATATTTGCAAACGTCAATACTACAAGAAAATATTTTAGACTGCTACTCAGTCAATAAAACATGATGCTAGAAACATTAGATGGAGCTTGCTTCTACATTTGCTAGAAACATTAAACTGATGGAGCTAGCTTCTATATTTTCTAGACTGATGGAGCTTGCTTCTTCATTGCCACCAAACATTTTTTAGTGGATTTCCAGTGGATCTATATAGAAATTTTGAGCTTTTCATTGGAGTTTTGCTCAACGGTTACTTAGTTGATCATTAGTGGCATACGATTTAGATGGCCAGCCGAGTACTTTTTAAAATGATATAGTGGCTAATCATCGGCTAGCCACTATTCGCGGCTGCCACTAACGTTTTACTAAATTTCATAGAAGCAAAACTACAATGGACCACTCAAAGTTTATTAAATTCCGCTATAAAATTTTTTCTGGGTAAATTCTATCCGCCAAAAATAGTATTGATTTTAGAGGGTTTAAGACGAGGCAGTAATCTTTACTTTTTTCTTTTTTGAAAAATAAGAATAATGTAAGTATGTATCAATTTTTTTCGGAAATCTTTACTTTCATTATTTTATTTTAAGAATAAGAGGGCACAAAGCATATTAGGAAAATATATATATATATATATATATATATATATATATATATATATATATATATATATATATATATATATATATATATATATATATATTTATATATATATATATATATATATATATATATATAAATATACGTATATATATATATATATATATATATATATATATATATATATATATATATATATATGTATATATATATATACAGGGCCGGCGCGAGTAGGTGTCACGTGGGGGGAGGGGTGCCATTACATTTTGCCGACTAAAAAAAAAAATAAGGTCCTCGTTTTCCAAAATTTGCCGACTGCTATGACGACATTTGCCGACTGTCTAGATTACCGACTAACCTGTAACGAAAGGGTCTACATTTGCCGACTAACTAGTCCAATTTGCCGACTAAAGGTCTAATTTGCCGACTAAAAATCATTGATGGGGGGTGTGACACCCTCCCCACACCCCCTATCGCGCCGGCCTTTTCTATCGGATTTAGATCTAGTGACTGTACGGGCCACTCCAAAACATCAATCTTGTTAGCGTTAAACCACACTTTAACACCTTTGGCGGTGTGCTTGGAGTTGTTGTCTTTTTGGAATTTCTGAATCAAAGTAAGGTTTTCCTCGGCATACGGCAACATGATGTTTTTTAGTATTTCTTTGTGCATGTATTGATTCATTTTCCCATGAATTCTATGCAACTATGCCACGCCACACCATAAAAAATACTACAAACAACCATATTGCCACTACCACGTTTTACAGTGTATTATTAGTATATCAGTGCTGTATGTCAGTGCTAACAAATTGAGTTTTAAATTTTGAGTCATTCTTTTTTTAATTTTGAGTGCACCAGCAAAAGGATTTAGCTTAGTGATACGGAAAATGTTTGCGTCTTTTCTAGGAGTTACTCAAGCAATAATATATTATATAAACTAGATGTCTAACTTGCGGTATTTTATTGGACAAAAAAGAAGCCGCGTTTATTTGTTTATAACCACTGATCTCAAAATATATATTGTATTTTGAGATCAGTGTTTATAACAATAGTCCGCCATTTGTAAAAAAGGCAAAAGCTGAAGCCGAAGTGTAGAATAAATGTTAAAAAAAGTCAAAAGTTTCCAATAAACTAAGTATAATTAAAAAACAAGTTTTAATAATTATAAAATACTTATAAAATTTTTTTTATGAGTCTATGTTTATTAATAAGTATTTCAATTCATAAAATTTCTTCAAAAGCTGTCGTTTTACTTTACTACTCAAAACTTTAATCCTTCACTTTTCGGATCGAAGTTAGACATCTAGTTAAATAATATATCATTGTTCTCGAGGCTTGCTTTTTTGTTGCTTAATGAACAAGTGCCCAGTGAGTACTGGACCAAAAAAAGACGTCTTTTGAACGTTTAAAAGACGTCCAAAACTTCAAAAGACGTTCAAAAGACGTCCAAAACGTCTATAAGACGTTTAAAAGACGTCTTTTTTACGTCCGTGTCCACTAGGTATCGTTAAATAAATTAATAACATTGATGACTTTTTCACGAGAGCAATCTAAATATAAAATCAATATAAAAGATGACTTTGAAACAATCTTTTAAAAAAAACTGATGAAAATATAATTAAAGATAAAGTAGATTTTGCCAAAAATATCAAATCAGCCCTTTTAAAAAACACTGATTGATATACGATTAAATCATATATAAGTTTAACTCAGTCATAAGAACAAAAACAAAGACCTACTTTGATTCGTTAAAATATACTGCATTCGAAATTAATTCTTTTATAAGAGTTGATTTAAAATCATTTCTAAGTAAAAAGTATTTACAATACTACATGTTTAAAAGTACAAGTATGTTATACAAGTGGTTTGTATATATTTATATATATAAACCACTTGTATAACATACTTGTTCAACATTTTTGCATATTTCATTGGTTTTGTTTTTGTTTAATTATTTGTCATATAATCTAAAAAAACATCTTAAATGTATTACTATTACTCTAAAATTACAACAAGTTTATTGGGGCTTTAGCTAGAATGGCTGCTAAATTTTTTTCTCTCGTTATTATTCAATTTCTGAGTCTAATTTATACAATTATAAATTGCAAAATTTCCAATCGTAAAAAATTACTTAAATTGCAAATTTGTGTAAAACTATTAATTGTTTTCAAGAAAAATAATTTTAAGATAAGGAATTATTTATTTTATTTATTTTTTTGTTTCAACGAGCTGCTAATTTTAAATTTGAAGAATCAAATAAAACTCAGTTTTTAAAGTTTTCTATAAATCTTAATCCTTAACTGTCGTTGCATACTCCATAAATTATTCCTCCGTTTATTTGTTACTTATTCCATCTCCATTATTCCTCATAATCTTCTAATTAGTAGCATTCTTGTGAAAACAATTTCAAATGTTTATAGCACAAGAAGTGTTTTTACTTCTGCCAGAAAAAGTTTTACTACAACAACTTCAAGTTATGATGAGTTTTACAACTTTAACGATAGGTTTTACTAAAACAACTTCAAGTTATGATGAGTTTTACAACTTCAACGATAAGTTTTACATCTACAACGCAATAAGTACTGTTGCTCCAGCTTTTACTAAAACGTTTTTAGTCAACTTGTAATTAAAATTTTAGCTATATTTACTTAATTATATAATCAAAAATATATAAATATCTTAGAATTTTACCTTGATTAAAATATTGGTACCACAATTTGTAGACTGAAATCGATAAGTAACAGCGTCGTATATATCCAAACAATGAATGCTTCGATGGAACAGTTCTTCTTTTACCTAAATTTGAAATTATATTTTGTAAACTAAAAAGTTTTACGATATCCTTTAAATTTTATACAGATTTTTTAGCAAATTTTGATAAATAGTATGTCAAAGTTATGTTAAATGATATTGTTATTTTTCTGTTTCTTTGCTTAATTGTTACGTTTCATGTAATTTTTTTGTTTCTTTGCTTAATTGAGATATTAAAGCAACTTTGAAAAGTAGTCGAAATAACGGAAAAGTAGTCAAAACGTGAACCCGTTTACTTTAATGGAAAGTCAAAACATTAGCACGTTCAAATTATTTACTTTTTTTCATAATTAAGTAAGATTCTAGATATAACATGAAATCATAATTAAATCTAACAATGTCATTAAATTTATAATTGATTTATAACTATGCATAAAAAAAAAAAAGCAAACCAAGTTTATTATATCTTGAACTTCAGCCGTTGCAGCTAGCCTTTCGGACAAAGCGTAATTTGGTTTGTCCATCGCGTCATAAAAAAATTTAAAATATGCTGTAATAAGTGATATTTTAAAAATGGTATATTATTAGCAAGCACTGATTATATGTTTTATATATGTGTATATATATATATATATATATTTTTTTTGATCTACTAAACTTAATAATAAAATTTTGCTCAAGTCTGTTTGACTTTAAATTAATAGAAGCACATTAAAGTTTAAATTTTTTGACAGTGTGAATAGAACCATGTGTATGCAGCCGTGTGAATGGAGCGATAATTCATTAGATTTCTTGAATAAATGTGGTTTTATACTCATAAAATATTAAATTTATTTTGCTTCAAGTAATTGAAAAAGTCTTATTAAAATGTGTTTGTGAAGATAAAGTGTGAGGCGTGGGTGGTGTATGGGTGTTTGCTTAATAATGCATTAGTTTGATTTACATTTATCTCACCTAATTTGATGTGCTCTAAAGTACATATGCACCATTGACACACCATTCGGATTTAAACAATAAGAATGAAACTTTTTGTTTGTTTATTTCGCCGTTTTATAACATTTACAATTTAAAAGTATATAAATAAAAACACTGGCAGGACAAGTAAAAACATTATTTTGTCTTATCACCAAGCCCCGTTCGTACATATTTACAATAACCGTATTATATATGTATACTTTACAAATATTTATTGAAAATTATAAATGTAAAATAAATAACAATTAGTTTAAGAAATACTTCAAGAATAATATTCATGTTAATAGTAATAATCAGGTAAACAAGAAAAGTTGAAAGAAAAAAATAAATGAATTATTTATTCATTTTTAATAAATGAATTAATTAAAAAGCATTAAAAAGTTGTAAAGTTTACGTACGGCTATTGTATAATAGCCGTACGTAAACTTTACAACTTTTTTATTGAAAAATATAAAAGTAAAATATATAACAGTTTGTATTATAGTAATATTTAAGTAAAGAACGAAAAATTAAAAATAAAAGAATACTTTATTTACAACAAACGTAATATATATGTATATTATAAAACGACCTTGTGTAAAAGTAAAATAAATAACAATTCATTGACAGTTTAAAAAATTTTTAATATCTATAGGTTCCATGGTATTGAATTGAATATGTAATTTGCTTTGAATTATATTTCAGGACAATGCAGTTATTATCTGAAAAATTTGTCGGATATTCATGAGCTACCTTGTTAAAATAGGACTGAAATATTTTAGGAGATAGTCCCATCTTTGTTTTATACATGAACATCAAACCTTGGTGTAAGTTGATTTAATAGACGTTTAATGCGCCAATTATACGATGAAGCTAATGACTCAAAATCTAGATTGTTGATTACATCAAGAGCATTTAATTGAGTAAATGTCTGGAATAAGCATTTCTTAGTTTTTAACAAAGGTGCAGTCATTGAAAAAAGTGAGTTTCAACGATGACGAACGTCGAGATCCAGTTCGATTTCTTTACCAAATTCTTCAGTAACTTTCTAATAAAAAATTTGATTACAAACTGATGGCATTTTTATGAATTTTACTACTTTTTGTGAATTCATCAAAATTTCAGTCAACATCAATCTCATTGTTTACTGATTCAAACTAAAAACGTAAATTTCATGTTCATCTTTTTCTGAATCACTGTCCGTTTCCTTGGGATCTGGTACGTTATGTCTTTATTTTTATTTTATAACGTGTCGCTTACGCCACACCTAATGGCCAACATGAATTACACGATTAAAGCAAAACTTATCAACAATGTCCGTTAACTGCATGACCTTCTTGTTGATTGCACCATCTTGAGTAGAACCTTCTACATCTCTTTCCATACAGACACAAAATGAATTCAAATAATCATAAATATTTATATTAAATTTTCAGCTGGGCAAGAACCATAATCCATAAATCCTAATGAAGCTAGTTTTATAAGTTTTTTTACATTTGCTTTTACCAACGTACCTTCTGTGCCTCAAAGATGTGTATTCATCATGTTTTAAACTGAATTTATGTCCCATTTTAATTTTTTCACTAATTTCTTGTTTTTTCACTCCCTTTTTATCAGAAAAATCTTGATGGATTGAATTCGTCACAGTTGTTGGAATTTTTCGAAAATGGTTTCCTCTTTGTTGAATCGATGAGCGAATATTTTTGTTGTTTGTTATTGTAATAATCGAAACACCGTCAGTAGCTAGAACAGCTACAATTTCTTTAAGGTTTGTTTTTTGTAAATAACTGTCCATGGTTTTAATTTTTTTCCGGTGACGGATTTAAGCTGCTGCTTGATTCTCCAGTTAAAGGGCTATTGATAGTAATTCATTGACGCAAAATATGATTCCGCAAAGTAGTTGTGGATCCACCGGAGCATGTTACAACAGAACCGCATCTATTACATATGCCTTTAACATCTCTTGAATTTGGAATTTTACACAGGGCAGTAATTTCTATACTGATGACATGGTTTATCTGGAAGATAAATTTTCAAAATATATTTTCTCCAAATATATTATCAAAAAATTAAATATTTGGTAGAAACATTATCGTGAATTATTTTTATTACATATCTATGCGTTAATATTTCGTTGAACCAAAATATACACTAAAAATATCCGCATGTTTTTTCAAGGAATATAAATCTTTAATACAAAGAATAGGTCATTCTATTTGAGTATTCCAGGCCCGAAGGAGAAAAAATTATTGTAGGGGGGGGGGGGGAGGAGCGGGGCAATACTACTGGGTAGGTCAAATAGTAGAAGGTCAAAAATTTTTGTCAAAGGAACTTACGCCAAAAATACGGATAATAAATTAGGTCTTTTCTATCCTTTTTTTCTTTTATATCTTAACTTGTAACCGTTTGCTTTTTTCTAAAAACTAATTTTAAAATTATTTATTTGAAAAATTATTGGGGGGCAAATGCCCCTGCTGACGCCCGGTTGCTACGCGCCTGTATTCAAATACTTTATATTCGAATATATTTCCGTCTTTTATTCAATATTTGAACATTTTTTTGGAATACTTGAATAATTTTGAAAATAAAAAGACATGTTAATTTTTCCAGCAAAATACAATCTAAATAAAATAAAAATTTAATTACTTACAAATTTGGTTTTTTATACTTTTCTTTAATAAATAAACATTCATCCAAAGGTATTATCCAAAAAAACCGCCAAAACCGTTTTTGAAAACCGACGGTTTTCATTTAAATCAGTTTTAAACAATAGGTATCGGAATTGGAAACCCTATCTGTGTGGAAATAAAAAAGATTGGAGTCATCTGAAAAAGAAAACAATTTAAGAAGTCTGTTGCTAAATTTAAATCATTTATATACACTGTAAGAGTCTTAAAATAGAGTCCTGGGTACCCCACAAGTTACAGCCTACGAAACTGTTTGTTTTTGTTCATACTGTATAAATTGCTTTCTAATGGTCAAATAACTTTTGAACCAAAATTATTTATTATTTTTTACTCCGTTATATTCAAGTTTTTTTAATTAGTATGTTGTGGTTTATAGTATCAAAAGCATTTGACAGATCAATGAAAAAAAATGCGCCATCAATACAAGTCATGGAAATTTTTTCTTGACAGGTTTTAATTATTTTTTGTTAACTTATTTTTTCACAGATATTTTATTCCGACTAAAAAACATTTGATTATTGTCAACACCCAATATATAATATTTTTGCCGTCTGAGCAGAATTTTTTTATTTTTATTATTGGCATGCATATCAAGACATGTCACCGCGAGATGCCGGCGCTTCAATTATTTTTTATTAATAAACTGTGTCCATAAATTGCCCTCCTGAGAAGCAAGCTTTAGCACTCATTGAAAAAAACACAAATGCATCATCACTAGCCTCAAACTGATCTATTTACAGTGATAAGTAGTCCGCTTACATATGCTTTTGTTGTAAGCCATTCATTTAGCTGATCGTTTTCACCTGCTTTAAAAACGATAAATTTTATGCTAACTTTGAAAAGCAAAAGATCAATGTGCCAACAAGCTATTAAGTTATAGTTTTTTAAAAAAGATTTATACATCTATATACTTTTGATAAATTAAAAGACTTTGATGGGTGGTTTTGCTTAAATGTATCTTTAATTCAAAAAGACTTTTGACAGTAAAAAAGCAACTATAAAATTTTAAAAAAATAGTGTTTTTATAGTAAAAAATTATGTTTGAAATCTACAAATGAATCTAAAACAAAAAATATTAGTTTGTTCTCTACAGCATTTGTTTATCACTTCCATATTGTCTATGCTAAAAACAAAATGCTTTTGTTTTTAGCATAGACAATAAGTCCTTGCTCAAGAATGTTTAATATCTTGTGGATGTTACACCTGTCTTCAATAAATTTTTGTTTGGGGTATAGCTAATTAAAAGTTTATCTGATATAACCATGAGGTTGATAAGCACATCATCATCATCTAGTATTGTTGTTATTTGGCCATCGTATTGATTTGTTTGATGTTTAAAACTCCTTGCTACGATAACAAATTGCCCAACAAACGTGGGGCAAAACTAAATCCATTGATGTATGTTTGATTTGGGTGCTGTGTTGATTTTTGTTCTGATGGTTTTGAAGGTCAGCTTCAGTATCAAAAAATATAAGACACGACAACTCACTGCAGTAGACATCAGTGTTATCTTTTCGTTTCTTTTAATTTCTATTTGCTCTAAAAATTTCTCCACCATCAAAAGGTTCTATCTCTGTTAAACCAGAAGCGAATTCCTGAAAACTGAACTGTTTTACCTTTACCACAATTAAAGTATTACCATTGCGTCATTCCATTATTGTTATATTGATTGAACTGATATTTGTTATCTTGCTATCATTAACTGATTTTAACTTGTTAATTTAATTTCAACCAATGATATTTTTGAATCTTTCATTACAAGCCTTAATTAATAACACCTCCACCTAATATGCAATTAAATTGCAAGGTTTTTGTTTTTTAGCAATAATTATATTAATCATATTCTTACCACCATTATCACTTTTTTTGCATATCTGCTTTATACTTGGAACATCTTGAGTAAACTAGTCAACTACATGGTTAGCCACATATAAAGTGTCTCTTGCATCCTGATCAATTTTTTGTATTATTGTGTAATATACTCTTTTCTTTAAATCACCAGCATCATTTTTTTAAAAAA